CTGGAGGAGGTGTGTGTGGATAGGGAAGTCTGGGCGTCTCTGCTTAGACTGCTGCCCCCGCGACCCGGCAACGGATGAAGCGGAAGAAAATGGATGGATGGATGGATGTTTGTTTAGTTTTGACCTTCACCAAATTACACATAAATTACGACATTTAAACATGGTCACATCCACAATGGCCTCCATACTCAGCCATAAAACATTGCTTCTTCGAATTTCCCTCAAGTTTCAGACACTTTTATCTGATTTTATTTCACCGACAGGATTTTACAATAACATGTCATGTTGTAATGAATCTGCATTTTTCAGAAAGATAGAGAGAAGATTATTGTTTACATAAGTCTTATTTGCCTTTGGATTCATTCAAGTCCATAACCTGTTATATTTTTATTTTTTTTCATACCTTTACCCGAGTCCTTTTGAGAATAAGAACCTCGTTATCAATTAGTCCTGTCCCTGTGTGCAGTGCTCCCTCAGAGTTCGCCATTAGCATCTCGCCCAAAACTAAATTTGCAGTTGCAGCGGGCAGCCCCGTTCGCAGGAAAAAAAAACATTTGCGCATGCGTTAGCCGACACCAGCTGCATTCATTTAACAAGTGCCTTCTAAAATCCACAGCGGCTAAACTAGAATGGTCCAAAAAAATATACTCCCTCAGCATTGACACACACCTGGAACGTAGCTTTGGGCCAAGAACCGACTTTCGGTAAGAAGACGCCATACAAAAGCATTGGATTATTCTCTTTCTGGGTACACCCCCACTGGCCCGGAGTGGTATTGCAAGTATGGTAGCTCACATGCTCATGGACGTTTTTGAGCTGGGACCCGCCCCCACTTTTTGCACCATTAGAGTTGCATAACAAGTGTTAATTTATAGGAATCACCTCCAAGACAAAAATACCCAAAACATTTGTTCTATTTTCCGTGCAAATTGTAGGCATTGTTTATAATAACTCAAAGTTAGCCATTTGCAGCTAGCCCAGAGCTAAATTTGCAGCTGGCATGCACAGTAGAGCTACCGCCCCCATGATGCTTTGCTCCTCTCCCCTGAGTAAGTGTTAATTCATATTTTTGTATGTATTTATTTCAATTGTAGGTATTGTTAGCAGTAATTTTTAATAATAACTATTGTTCACTAATGTGAGCTATTGCTTTAGCTCACATTCACTTACATTAAACAGTGCTCTGTGAGATCCTGCAGTTTTTCTTTTATATTTTATTTTGATATTTTAATACCAGTATTGGTGCATCCCTAATTTTCATCTTAGTATTTAGTCCAGTTTTGATTCAATCCACAGAAACTGAACTAATTTTGTTCAAAAACAAATATACTGGAAAATGATATACAATCTAACTAATGTGAATAAAGTATTGTTTGAAAAAGAAAAGTAAACTACTTTTATAGTTCAACATCAACGTCGTACTTTTTTTTTCAGCCCTGCTCTAATGGGTCTTTGTTTATGATGCGTCTGATCCAAAATCACTCTTTTGTGGCTGCAAACATTTGGAAAGATTTCCCCCAGTTCCAGCCCTGCAAAGAACAAACAGACTTTCCGTAGATTCTGGCTAATTGTTTAAGTGCGTGTCTAAGCCGTGATGATGTAAGCAGTGTTGGATATGCTTCTCTCTATAAATCTGCATATACGTATGAACATCAAAGGCAGAGATATTGATCTGCATATGTTTAAGCTGCAGGGCGGAGTGTGTTTTCTTGGATCAAAGCTAATCTGTGTTGCCATGCTCGTGCCTCTTCAGTCCAGGGAGCTGGTGTTTTGTGTATCCTCCGCAGCGATGACCTAGGAATATCTAGATTACACTCTGATCCAGCTATTGATTCTACTGATAACATCCACTGAGGCTGGAGATGATGATCAACTCCGCTTCCAAGTCTTAAGGCTCCCGTATTTTGCATATTTCTCATATTTACATTTGCTACATCTCTGTATCACTAGTTTCTACTCCTTGTTTTCATCTCCAACCTAAATCCAGTGCTCACTTAATTAGAGACGGAGTGGGTTGTATTGAAAGTAGGAGAACCGGCTTTCTCTCACTATGCTCCTTGTAAATGGAATACTAATGACATCAAGTATGTGCCAATGTTAAGTGGCTTTGAGAGTAAACTAAAGACTGTTGGATGGTGTTGGTCCGCGGATTTGATGATTGATGAACTCTGAACATCCTAAAGCGCTTTGGTCTGTAGAATGTGCTATATACAGTAAGTACAGATGAATTACTTAACAACAGTGGCTCAGTTGGTAGAGCATTGGTCTTTGGAGGTAATGATCGTGGGTTCGATCCCACCACGACCCATTTAATCTGCTCTCAATGATGTCTGCTGTCGTTAACTTAACCCCACTTTGCCTGAAGCCCCTGCTGAAACACCAAGGCTGTATCTGCGTTGAAGGAGCAGCCATCTTCCTGTGGACCCACCACCTGCAGGAGGATCAGTGAGGGACTGGTGCATTGTGAATTGTGTGGCAGCTGATTGCCACCCTGACCCAGAAATGAACAAATAAAGGGATGAAAAAGAAATTAAATGAAACTTACTTAACATTTCTGAGATCCAAGAGCCTGAATCCTATAGGAGGATCTGTGTAAACATCTGTGTAACCTCGCGGGGCGGTAAGACGACAGAGCCGCACATACTGAAGCTTGGATGCAACGAGTACTTTTAAAAGAGTCAGTGGTTGAAATGCACTGTATATAAGCACTTTAACGCAAGAAGATCAGAGATGATAGAAAGATAAGCTACAAATAATTATGAGACCGAACTGAACAAAGCCTAGATGAGACCTGGGAGGACGACAAATATTAGTCGGACTCGCTTCTGTCTTGGTACTGATCTGCTGGGAGACATTTATTCTTACTTCATAGAAAACCCACTGCACACTTGTTCACTGTGATGCCCTGTACTACTGTGCAAAGTAACATTCACTTTTACTGTAGAAATTACAAGAACATTTACGTCAAAATGTGCAATATTGATCCACAATGCGATTTTTAGAATTCATCATCACAGTGAGCAAGTGTGCAGTGAAAGAAGTTGCAAAACTTTTTTAAATGCGTTTTTAAAAATAGCATTTTAGTTTCCCCCCAGCTTCCCTTTCTACGTTTACCATAGATAACAGCATAAAGGGACAACTAGGGTTGGGCACCGAGAACCGGTTCCTATTTGGAACCGGTTCCTAAAGTGCGGTTCCGGAACCGTTAAGAAGACGTTTGTATTTTGATTCTTTTTTCGATTCCTAAATGCCGGATGCGGCCCGCACAGCGGCGTCGGAAGCGTTTGGAAGGTGGGGGGGGGACACGTTTCAAAAATGCTTAGCAGCTGTCCACCCAGCTTTGTGAAAAACTCAGTGAATTAAGCTGTTATGAGACGGCGCGCTCGTGTTTGCTCAGTATTTGCCACATTTAGCTTCAGCCACACACTCCTGCCATCGCAAAGAAACCTCTCAACGCTTGTATCTTCACATTTTCCACAAACGCAGATAAAACTGAGTCAAGGGGTAAAGGAAGCAAACATTTATCCGTCAAATGACTAATTCAGATATTATTTGGTTAAGTTAGAGTCCAGACAGCGAGGTTTAACGGGCGTATTGACCGGTTGAACACTCGTGCTAGCCCGGTGCAGTTTCCCCAAACTCACGCTACATCAGTTTCATCACTCGCTTTACAAACACATCCAAAACTGATGTTCCTTACCTTAAAGTTACTGGTCAGGCCCTTTGTAATGATGAAGAAGGGAAACACGCTGTCCACCTGCCGAGGACCGCAACAAGTCCTGCTCCTCCTCCATGTAATAATCCGTAAAAAACTCTGAAAACACGAGGCACGAGTCCTTGTGCTTTGGTCACATCTGTCAGTCCGTCCAACGATAATCCTCCAGTATTCTCACTTTAGCCGTTTTTCAGCGGTTTACAGAGACGTGTTTATTGTTTACATTTCAGCCGCTCTGAGATGATGGTGGGCAGTGCTCGGGGAGCCGATTGAAAAGGTCCAGTCTAAACTAGTAAATGTAAAGTCAATGAAAATTCACTTTGTGAAAGTGGAGGGGACTTCCGGCGGAAAAAATAAAATAATTACTTCGCCCGCGAAAAAAAAAAAAATACTCCGCCCCCGCGAAACTTCACTTGCCTGAACCTGATTGAACATGGACCGAAGACGCCGATCAAAAGTCTGGCTTTATTTTAGTTTAAAGAAAGATGGATTAGCACAGTGCAACACCTGTGGAAAATATATTAGTGCTAAAGGAGGATGTACAACTAATATGAAAAAACACCTTCGGCAACTACATGGTATACAGTGTGGTAACGAGTGTACTGTGTTTGATGTGATGCGTCGCTCTCCTGCTCCCGTCGCTTCCTCCACTTCGGACAGTGAAGTTCAACAATCAGCCAGCAACTCTGCGTTGGAAACGGAATCAGGTATATGAAAATGATTTTTGTCTTATTCTTCACAGACAAGCTAAAGTTTTAATATACTACCGGTTGCTAAAATTGTGTCAAATCTGTTCATAGCTGATTCAGTTGAACGCTCGCAGAGTGATGCTGCTAGCATCAGCCAGTCTGCTGCGGCTGCTGCGTTAACCGGCCAGAGACCCCGGCCAGTAAATAGAGAAACCCCATTCACCTTGGCAGCAAGGGGAAAGCTGTCAGCGGAGCAAATTGCCGAGTGCCACAGAAAAGTAACGGCGTATGTGGTAAAAAGGCTGCATCCGCTTAGCGATGTCGAGTCGCCCACATTTAGGTAACGTTAAGTAAATAAGATTAATATTAAGCTAAATAACTTAGCGGTTAGCTACTTTATCTACCCCTGACTTAAGTTACAGTAACAGTTCAGGTTTAACTTAATTGACAGATTTGTTTTATGCACAGTGCTCGTTTAACAAAATATGTGCAGAAGTGTGTGTTAATTGCACATTGTTTTTATGAAAGAAGACATCCTGAAAGAATTTTGTGTGTTTGATAAAGTAGTAGCAGTTACTGTGGATAATGCGGCCAATATGGACGTAGCCATCAAACGGCTACAATTTGTGAAGCTCGGCTGCTTCGCTCATACACTAAACCTCGCAGCACAAAGTCTGTACTCCAGCAGCTTGGTGGCTCAGTGGACTGCAAAGATTCGTGCCATCATCGTCTGGATGAAGAGGTCGTCAATGGCAAAGGTGGTTCTACGAGAAAAGCAGGATGTCCTAAGTAAGAATAAATGTCTTGAGTTTAATTGGATGCCAGGATCAAATTGAAGCAATTCCTCTCTTTTAGTAGTGCACTGCAGCCAGTGTACATTTGGCTGGTATTAACATTAGTAAAACAATGCAACATTACATATCTGTCTGATTACACAATATAAAAGTTGCATGTCATTGATGTCAATTCTCTATGTATTTGTGATTTTCTTATTCGTGTCAGAACTTCCTCAACATTCACTGATTCTCGATGTGAGAACAAGGTGGAATTCTCTCTATCTAATGATTGAGAGATTCCTTGAACAATACCCTGCAATACAAGCAGCCAGCTTGGATCAACGCCTAAGAAAGAATATGGAGAGGGACAGGTAGAGAGAGAGATGGATACACAGTATATAAGAATAAAAGTATGTGTATGAATGTGCATACGGTTCTAAGAAAGAAATTGGCACACTGTTTTGCTGTATTATACAGTGGAATTAATTTAAAGTCACTTGTCAAATAGCACTACTTTTGTTTAAAGAGACAAAAAAAAAATCTTTATTTTGAACTGTATTGAAAATGTATTCTTTCGCACACAGGCTTGATCGGCTGTCAGAAGGGGATTTCACCAAGGCAGAACACTTCATCAGGCTGATGCGAGTTCTTTACACCTGCACACTCTGTGTTTCCACCGAAAAAAGCCCATCAGCTGGACAGATCCTGCCGATCATCCAAAAGCTTGAGAAACACTTCGCCCCTTTAAATGGAGACACAGCATTTGTAGCGGACTTGAAGAACAGGGTCTGGAGAAACCTGTCTGCCCGGAACAAGGTAATGACTGAGGCTATAAACGAACGAAGACTAAAATTAGATTCGATACTTCTGTTCCTGTGGCTTGATGCAATAGTAGTTTTGTTTTGTTTTTGTTTTAAAGAATGAGGACATCAGGTTCTTCTTGGAAGAAGCCACTGCCTTAGATCCCCGCTTCAAGAATAAGATGGTCAACAATGCTGCAGTCTGGGAACGGATTAAGGGGAAGTTGCTGGCAAACTCTGAGGAGGTGAAGTGTCATTCATATACAAATATATACATTTTATATTAATTAGCATTTTACATCATCCTCCATGCAGTAATCATTAACACTGTACTGTTTATACTTTTTTAATCACCTTGCTACAACAACTCTACTGTTAATCAATAAAGTGCCTTTATTAACACATATTCTATTATAGACTGTGACAACTCTTATATTCTATCCATCTTTCTATGTCTACCTGTCCCTCTCCATTATGTTCTCTGTAGTCAGCGCCAGCGGCAGTCCATGACCATGCAGAAGAGGTTAGTGTGACGCAGGGCGAGGGAAACCAGGAAGGTCTGAAGACTGACAGTGAAGAGGAAGAGGAGAATGTAAGTAGATTACTGAAATTATATCTGGTATATTTCTAATGTTTTTTTTTATTGATAACTATTATGTCCTGTGTTTGTTAAGCAGCCTCCTCCTTCCAAACAATCCAAAAAGTCTCCACTGGAGGAGCTTTTTGCTGAAGAGGATGCCATGAAGAGGACCTCACAGGAGGGGGTGATGTCTATGGAAAGTCGTGCTGAAAGGGAGATCCAGACGTACCTGGAAATCCCATCAATCATCACATCATCTGACCCTGCAGCCTGGTTCTGGACCCAGAAACAAAATTATCCTTTACTGTCATGTCTGGCCTTCTCATATTTATGTGTGCAGGCCTCCTCAACACCTAGTGAACGGGTCTTTTCAACTGCAGGAAGCACAATCTGTGCGGAACGGTCGCGCTTACTGCCCGAGAAGGCAGACATGATAATCTTCCTTAACAAAAACTGTTTCTGATTTGTCAAAACTGCACCAGGGTTTGAGTTTCTTTTCTTTTTTTGTTCCATCTGAGCTGCAGCTATTTGCTTTTAGACTGCTGCCAACTTGTGTAATTTCAGTTTTACAGTTACCGTTAGGGACTCTCCCTACAGTTAAAGTGTGTGTGTGTTCCTTGTTTTTTAATTTAATTTGTTTTTATGTAAAGCACTTTCTGTTGCCTTATGGCAGGAAAAGTACTTATGAAATAAAATTTGATAAAAAATTATCTTTTTTTTTTCTCTCCTGCACCTCAAAGAATCGGAATCGAGAATCGTTTAGAACAGGAATCGATAGTGAGAATCGGAACCGGAATCGGAATCGGAAAATTGCAAACGATGCCCAACCCTAGGGACAACCCTCTTTTAGAGTGCGGACCACTTCTTTTGCTGTTCTTTTCCAAAGGAATTAGAACAAAATGTTATCTGGCCCCAGCGGACTGTACAACAGACCACACAACAAGAATGGACCATTTGATTTATAAAACACAAACAACAACTTATTCTTGTATAGCCCTAAATCACGACAGAAGTAATCTCAGAGAACTTAAAGGAATAGGCCACCGTTTTTACATACTGACATATGTTCTTACCTTACCTTAGACTAGTTGATATGTACAGTACCTGTCTGGTCTTTGTCCGTGCGCTCTGTCATGCAAACGGAGCACAAACGCAGCCTCTGTCTAGTTCCAAATCAGCTCCCGTTTACAATAACATTATGTCATGTTGTAATGAGTCTGCAGTTTTCAGAAGGATAGAGAGAAGATTATTGCCTTGGGATTCATTCAAGTCCATAACCTGTTTTTTTTTAATAAGAACCTCGTTATCAAGGGAGTCCTGTCCCTGTGCGCATTGCTTCCTCAGAGTTCGCCATTAGCAGCTCGCCCCAAAAACTCGCCCAGAACTAAATTTGCAGTTGCCGCGGGCAAATGCTGCCAAACTCTTCCACGTTTTCCCTATTTAAATACAGTTACCTGAAGTGTTACACTACAAAGTATAGTAACACAGAAATGTAACATGTTGTTTTCTCAGCGGATAAAAAGGGGTACTATATTGTGAGGCGTAATAATACGTCCGCGCACTAACTCCTAAAGACTTCTCTCCCACTCACTTCCGTCAATAGAAGCAGCGTGAGCGGGGAGAAGTCTTTAGGAGTTAGTGTATTATTACGCCTCACAATATAGTACCCCTTTTTATCCGCTGAGAAAATCGACATGTTACATTTCTGTGTTACTATACTTGGAACTATACAGTCTGTGGAAGAGGCTGCGTTTGTGCTCCGTTTGCATGACAGAGCGCACGGACAAAGACCAGACAGGTACATATCAACTAGTCTAAGGTAAGAACATATTTCAGTATGTAAAAACAGTGGCCTATTCCTTTAATAAAACCATTGAAATCACCAACACAGATCAGAGAATCAACAGTTAAGACACAAATTATAAACATATGTATTGGTCCATAGAGAGAGGCCAATGTCTAAGAATTTTGATAAATGTCCATACATGTTGTAGAATGTTAAAGTGTCCTGGATCATCACCACAGTCCTTCTAGTTGGACACTAACTGCCCAAAAGTCTAAAACTAGCTAGCTCTCAAGCATCCAGGAAGCTTTCTCAAGTCACTCAAAGACCCTCCTACAGTATAGCCTCTATAAGAAAGTGTTCTTGTTGCTGCAGACTTTTACTATACATGGACCTTCTGAGACCCTATTATTGCAGAGCAGGTGTGTTCAGAGGTTATGTCTTTGATCCTGGACTGGGTTTGGTTCTCACCGTTGTTTGGTTCTCACAGTGCTTTGGTCCTCACAGTGCTTTGGTCCTCACAGTGCTTTGGTTCTCACCGTGGGGCAGCAGAGAGCAGTAATGAGGGAGATGACAGGCGGGACTGGGCTTTGCTATCCACTGCTTTTAAAGCTTTGGAGAGAGCAGACCGTCAAGTGTCCTCAGTCTAATATGACTCATGCAGTGCAGAACGACGGTCCGAAATACAAGGAAGCGGTGGAAAATGGTGTCAGAAGAGATTCACCCATGATAGAAATACATCTGAAACTTGCAAAATGTGGTTCAAAAGTCCATTCACTAATACCTTCAAAGTGAGATTTATTCAGCCTTTCTTTGTGTTTTCCCCTCTGTGGGACGAATAAAGGTTTGTCTTACAATGTTGATAATTAGCTCACAGCTTGTATAAAGCGTCTACAATCTGCTGTATTTACTGCTCCGGCTGTTCATGAATACTCACTGGTCCATCCAAAGAAACAAAGAAATACTAATACAGATACACAACACCAAATTAAAAAAAACTCAAAAAAGTAGAAGAGAAATCCATTTTTTTTTTATTAAATTGTTCGTCCACGTCATCATATTACATACACGCATCAGTTATTTTGGGAAACATGAACAAACATAAACAAACAGGAGGACAGTCTAATCACCAATAGTCACCTTGATCTTTCAGCGGGGGCTTTGGGCAAAGTTGGGTTAAGTGTCTTGCCCAAGGACACAACGACAGCAGTGGGAGTTGGTGGAGAAGGTGTCGAGGTGGGATCGAACCCACAACTTTCGGGCTTAAAGTCCAATGAGCTACTGTCGCCTAGATTTTTTCTGTCTTATTCAAAAACAACTTACTGCGCACTTTTATTCCCGTAAACAACAGACAAACCCTTGGCTTCTGTTTTTTTATTTTTTTATTCCCGCACAATGAAATGCAGTTCATCACATTTTTTGAATAATCTGTGTGTTTTTGAAATTCCGTCATCTCAAGTGTAGATTGCAATTAATGATGGACTCTAAAGACACCGTAGCAATGACTTACTCTATTAGATAAAGTACGACACTAGTTAAAGATGAATATTTGCCTGACTCTCTCACCTGAGCGCTACATAATGCAGTCAATTCTGTTTGGAGAACAAAAATATTACAGTCAGAGATCCTTTACCCGTCCCACAGTGGGGAAATGTCAGTGTTGCGTCGCCATTTACAGAACAGTAGGAATGAGGAGCACACAGCACAAGATACAGGAACAATAATTTCATTCTAAAACAAAATAAAATCTCTATCTTTAGCGTAATTAAGAAGCAAATGTAAAATGCTGTATATTGTATTGCGGAAATATATACAGTGTAGTTGTGTGTTTACATCTGTATTTGTGAGCAACATGAGGGTCTGGGACACAGTGACACATGTGGGTTCTGTATTGCACATTCTGACATTATTTTAAGTTATTGCACATATATGATTAAATTACTTTAAAATAATTCTGTACTCTGTGTTTCCTCTCTGCCCTTCTCGCTCCTTATGTGAGAAATTTCTGGTTTTGATCATTCAATTTATTACCTGATTGCGTGTACGTGTGTGTCTGTGCGTGTGTGTGTGCGCGTGTGTGTGTGTCTTACATATAACACAATAATGATAACGGTTACAGAACTCTAAAACAGCAGCTGATGGGAACCGAACAAAAGCATAGTTTGTGATCCGTTTGCGATGGCCCACTTTAGAACAGTGAATATATTGTTAGAGAGGACACAGAGCCTGTGGTCCAAAAGGAGAGTGTCGTTCATCAAAACAATATCGCCATAAAATAACGATGCATCAACACAGAGTCCAGGCCCGGATATCGAGGCCTGCCGGAGAACGGGGGCTTTGTTCCGTCTGGGAGGAGACAAACAAAATATGTTCCACTATGTCCTCTTATGTAAGCAAAACTGTTTTATCTTCCAACTCTACTTTGTAACCAAGGGCAGTGCTAATTGGGATCCAGGCATTAATTAGTAAGAAAGCCTTGTTTAGCATGTGAGTTATTGTCTGTCCAACCGCCAGCGGCCGAGGATCCTGCACACGAGACGATTTTGTTTGTTTTTTTGGTTTTTAAATAAGGCCTGGATCAGACATGAAAAAAGTATCATTAAGATTAATATTTGTCCCACAGTGAGGAAATGTCAGTGTTGCATCACCAGTTACAGAACAGTAGGAATGAGAAGCACACAGCACAAGAGAAATGAAAAATTTGAACAACTCTATAATAAAATGAAGTAAAAAAAAAACAATCTTTAACTCTAGCATGAAGAAGAAACAAGTATAACATCTCTATCTTTTGCATAATAAGGAGGCATATTTTAATCCTGTTTATTCTAGAGCATAAATATATAATTGTATGTATACATCAGTACATGTTGGCAGCATGAGGGTCTGGGTCTAAGGGATGAAGTTAAGTGACGGATTGTTGATTGAAACCCTAAAAATTGCGGTTAATTGTGTAATATACAATTATAATAATAAATATCTCGGTCCTCTCGATCGTATCTCTGCTGTTTGCGTTTCTGCTTCTCTAACGCGGAACAGTTGACTGTCGTTCGTCCAAATGGAATCTGGCTCTGGATAAATGTGATTCCTGCTGCTGCTGCTGCTGCTGCTGCTGCTGTCTTTTGTTAAAGAACTTAGAGACTCCCGTGGCCTGACGCAGGTCTATGTTGTGCTTCATCACTGAGGTAAACTTTCCCCAGAGGAAATCACTCTGCTGAAGTGAATGTGAGGGATTTGCATTCATTACTGTAGTACATTCTCTGAACAAAAGGTCGGGACCAAAACATGTGTTAAAGTAAAGTTAGAGTTTAATCAGAGCAACTATTGACCGGCTGGTGCCTTCCCAGTCTCCCAGTCCATGGGGCTGATGGTGGCTAAAGAAAAAGAAATAAAAAGCACAAAAACCTCTGTCAATAAAGAACAAGCTTCTGATCAGTTCCATCAGTGACTGTCGTCTTTTGACCCAGATTTGAGTCTCAAACAATGTGTTTATTTTAAAATAACAATAATAATAATAATACTTTTTTATATACTGCACCTCACATTTCCAGGAAAAAGTGCTACAGAATAAAATACAACACCACAAACAATACATAGCAAAAGCATCAGAAGTGCATGGATACATCAAGAAGAAACATGAAGGGGTTAAAAGGTAATAAAATCCCAAATAGACCTCTTTCAAAGTCCTCCACACTTTGTGATGCCCTCAGAGTCTTTGAGAAGGTGTTTCAGAGGCGTGGGGCTGCAACCTGATGCCCTGTGTCCCACGGTGGAGAGCTTAGAGCTGGGCTGGGAGAGACAGTGTAGGTCGAGCGGAGGCCGATGTGATCACAACTAATCACAATTATTTCATCACTAAAATCACTGGAGATAGTTTTACAAAATCATAGATGATTAAACATTGACCACATGCTTTAGGATCATTAACATTCAAATTCAATAGTATAAAAGTATAGTATAGTATAGTATAGTATAGTGCCCCTGAAACAACCCCACATGAAGCAAACCTATGGGACAAACTATTCTTAGATTTGTATAAACAAAGTTGTTATAGAGTGATTGTGAGCTCAGCCTGATGACGGCAGCACGGGGTTCTGCTGAAATCAACTTCATCAACACTTTCTTTCAAAACAATGACCTTCAGGAAAGGTCCATAATCAGTCTCATGTGTCCTATTTCACAAACATGTTATTAACAAAATGAAGAGTCTCAAATACTTCTTTCAGATCTAACTGATGAGTTGAACTCAATAGACTCGTAACATTGTATCATATGAAGTGACAATCAACTGTGTTCACATTCAGCCAAAAGAAGCACCTCAGCATCTATAACGTTGATACAGCAATCTGTGAGATTGTGTGTCTGCTGGATTGTGTGTCATCTGTTGGATTGTGTGTCATCTGTTGGATTGTGTGTCATCAGTTGGATTGTGTGTCATCTATTGGATTGTGTGTTATCTGTTGGATTGTGGGACTCTCTTTACTCTCTTGGTTTGGCTCATATTGGCTCATATTTGCTCATGTTGGCTCATATTGGCGCATATTGTTTCTGTTTGGTTCAGATTGGCCCACATTGGCTCAGAGTGTCTCTGTTTGGTTCAGATTGGCTCAGATTGGCTCTGTTTGGTTCAGATTGGCTCATATTGGCTCATATTGTCTCTGTTTGGTTCATATTGGCCCACATTGGCTCAGCATGGCTCTGTTTGGCTCGGTATGGCCTACAAAGTCACGCTCCATTGTCATTATCCAGTAGAGCATGATGGTGAAGGTCTCATGTCTAATGTAGGAACAAAACAGACGCCGAGCACAGGATCTGGGTCAAACACATGATGAGACACAAGGGACGGTGTGTTGTCTCTGCTTCGAGCCTCTGCTGCCTCCACACAACAATGTAGACCTTAGGACTTACACTTAGCATTGTCAGGAATGTATTTATTTTACACTGGACCCTAAAAATAAGGACTGCAAGCATCTAAAGTAATACAGATTTTTCAATTGAGTTATCAGAATAGAATATTGAGATCAAAGCTTTCCATAACAAAACACTGATCCTGGTGTTCAACATTTTTTTTGTTTTAAGTTTGAGATTCTCTTTGATCTGTGTTGGTGAATCGACGGCCATACCTGCATGTGATAAACAAATCCTGTCAGATCTCTGAAGCTAAGCAGAGTAGGGCCTGGTTGGTAGCGTGATGGGAGACCCGTTGTTATACTGCATCAACTGCATTATTAACGTAAAATGTACATTCAGATACAAATCAGAGCAACACACTGGAGATCCTGCAAATTACTAACATTGCCTCATTATGAAGATGATGATTTGATAGAAGCTGGATCCTTGAGGCCCCCGTGGATCAGGCTTCAGTGCAGTTCTCAGATACTTTGCCTCCGACATGAACAGAGCTGCTCTGAGCCCTGCTGCCTCCTCTGACACAAGGATCATCTTTGTCTCTATGGCCTCTCTGACGTCTCTCTGCCTCCTTAGATGTCTCCAGTTATGTAACTTTAGCATAATAAAGAAGCAAGTGTAAAATCTCTCTCTTTAGCATAATAAAGAAGCAAGTATAGAATCTCTCTCTGTAGCATAATAAAGAAGCAAGTATGAACTGTTTCTCTGATCTGTGTTGGTGAATCGACAGCTTTGTAATGTCCTATGAGATAACTACTGTTGTAACTTAGTGCTATACAAGAATAAATTGAGTAGAATTGAGTCTCTATGACATTTCCTCACGTTTTTATTGCGATATACAGTAAAAAATGAAGTGTATTATAGCAGAACAATGTGGACAGGATTGCTAATGTGCAGGCGTGGTTGCTCTCCACCTGCAGTATTGTCCTTTTCCGTGCTGTTAGCGTACCACAGAGATAATCCCTCGGCTCCGTCAGAAGCAGGAGTCAGCAGTGATCCTCCATTAGTCCACAGTCATTAGTTGTGTCATGTCTCCAGCCTCGACTCATACCTCATTCTTCTCATTCATTTACGAGCTCTGATGGCTCCGCTCTCATTAGCAAATCCATGTTCCCCTTCCCTCTCCTTCCACCGAGTGCATTAGCTGATTAAACTGCATCTTTGCCAAATGGCCCCCACCCCCCACCTGCTAAATAACAGAATCACTCTTTCTTTTAAGGTTGCAGTGTATCGTATACTGTACTTTACCGAGTCACTGTGTCCCAGACCCTCATACTGCTACAGATGTATACATACTACTATTCATGCTCTAGTATCTACAACATTTTATACTTTCTCCTATATTATGCTAAAGCTAGAGATTTCATACTTGCTTCTTTATTATGCTAAAGTTGGAGATGTTTTATTTTAGTATAGAGTTCTCTTCATCTTCATCTAATGTTACAGCCATCTGTCAGACACACATTCCCATTGCATTGTGCCATAAATTGGTATTTAAGCTTTCTGACCGAAATCCCACTTTGCTCCTCGGCAAGTTCCAGCAAAGAAAAAATCAAGCATCAGCAGCAGCCTCTGACTCAGGAGTGGTTTGAAGGGATTAAAGAAGGCTGTGTATAAGTATGTCTTCTATGAGCAAAGGTAAAGGTGCCCCAAGTAATATGTTACTAGTATTATTATTATTACTACTGTCTTATGTATACAAGAACATATGGCTATTTCTGGATTAGACTGCAAAAAGTGATGAAAAATAGGTCCAAAATTGCTCATATATTTCAAAATGTATCTTAATTTAAGCACATTCTGGTTGCCTTAAAACAAGATTGGCCAATGGGACAAAAAGAAAAGAAATGTCTCCCTTGGAATGAGAAAATAAAGCCACAGTTCTTGTAGTGTTTCGCATACTGTTTGGTCCCCATCAAATGTAGATTTAAAAAAAAACGCATCTTATAAAACATGTGGGTAGTTTTGCACAGTTTTTCCAATGTGGTTTTACTGCAAATGGCATATCAATTCTTGTATCTTGTAACGTAGAAGCCATATTTGTCTTACTGCAGAATTGATCAGAAAGAGTTTATTACTGAGATGCAGGCCACCGGAGCGTGGAGGTGAATGGATCCGTCACAGAAGGCTCAGAGCTGACAGCGAACGGACGGGAAGCTTTCGGAAGTGTGAAAAACTGTGGACTGCATCCTCCTCAGATCGATACAGGACTGATCTGTGACCGAGTTGCGATCTCGGCTCACATCAAAGTCAGACGCAGAGGCAGCAGCCGTGAGAGAGAAATGCACCTTCTCTAATCATCTAAGTCTGCGTTTAAACTGGGAGAATGACACACACACACAAGTCTGAATCGTCTAACTATAGATCAGAGGGTTGTGTAGCGTCAAAAATGGATTACAGCGCTCTGGATTTAGTTTGTTTTTAAAATTAGATTGTGGAATTATGCAGAGAGCAGATGCAAATAAGAAAAACACAGAATATTTATGAGGAGCTGCTTCAGTCCTGCACCGCGTGGCCTTGGTCCTCGTTCTCTAGCTTGAGTCCTGGATCTATAGCCTGTCCATCAGTGTGGAGCTGATCCCTGCCTCAAGGTTTCTTACTTTTCCCACTGGCTTTTAGAGTTTTGCCTTGCCCATGCAGGAGGATCTGTTTGTGGGTCTAACTAAAATAGCCGCGTTTCCACTGCAGGAGTTCCTGGTTAAAGGAGCAGGGTAGAACTTCTACATGGAACCCTCCTCTCCCTCGGTCCTCTCAGTGTCCGTGTCTCCAATGCAGAGTAGGACCACTCGGCGACGTCATATGAGTTACGATTACCGCATAAGCAAACTCATTACGTCAAAACCCGTTATTATTATGGATCTATGCGCCAAACCCATTTGTTTATTTTACGTTCGTGACCGCTCCTGTTGTGTGGTCTTTGAGTTTTTTATAGTCCTGCTTAAGTTTTTCAAAACTTTTCACGGCTTGTTTTGGAGAGTGATGAATCCTCAGTGCTTCAAGGTGAAGCTGATATGTCTAAATATATGTTTTTATTTTGCCGCAATGCCTCAAACCCCGTCTCAATCACTGTGCTGTTGTTTGCTTCCTGTGGTGTCTGCTAGGCTAATGCTGCTTGGTTGATGCCGGTTGTTTTGCCGCTTTCTGCTGGCGTCTGAGCGCCTGAGCCTGTGCTAACTTTAGCCAATTAGCGCCGGGTTAACCTCAAGTCCCACCAGGGCTCAACGGAGTACAAGGCAAGGCAAGGCAAGTTTATTTATATAGCACAATTCATACACAAGGCAATTCAAAGTGCTGAACAAAAAAAGAAAGCATTTAAATCATAAATAATCACAGTACATTAAAAAGAAAGTAAAAATCCCTCAGTTGTATGCACAGCTGAACAGAACTGTCTTTAACCTGGTTTTAAACATTGTCAGAGAGGAGGCCTGTCTCACACTTTCAGGAAGGCTGTTCCAGATTTTAGCAGCATGAATCTGAAAAGCTGCATCCCCATGTTTAGTTCTGACTCTGTACATACCACGGAGGAGGGACTCCGTTGGGCCCCGTAAAAGTTCCTGTAAATGGCCCTGTGGGGAAAGTTCCTGCAGTGGAGACACACACCGACGGGGCTGGCCCTGGAAAAATACCCTGTAGTTCCTGCAGTGGAAACGCAGCTTTTGACAGTGTTGATCCAGGACACTCAACATGAATGGACATTGGTCATCTACCCCGTATGAACCAATAGCAATGTGTTTTCTGTTCTATTTCTTGTGTTTGAATTGTTTGATTCTCTGATCCGTGTTGGCGAATTCAACGATTTTGTAAAGTCCTCCAAGATAACTACTGTTGTGATTTAGGGCAACACAAGAATAAATTGAACAAAGGGGCAGAGACCAATGTCCGTAAATATTATTGAATGTTGAGTGTCCTTAGACCCTCCTGCGTCAGAGGAACACATCTAAAAACCCAGAAAAGTGAGAAACCATTGGCTTCTTGGACATACTTTTTCATATTTTTTATAAACAGGGACATCGTTCACAACTCACTGATTTGTTAAGAACATTTCTGAGACTTTCTGTTTGCCTGTCCGTGCTTCCATTCCTGCGAAATGTATTTGTTGAAGAGTTTTTGTGGATTGTTTTAGAATCACTGATGAAGATCCAGAAACGCACATCCAACATATTTTCCTACGTTGTGAACCGTTCCTGTTCGCTGCAAATTATGTGATTTATTTATACCTCTAACTTCCTTTTGTGCGCCCCCTTCTTACTTCCATCTGAGCCACTGAAATATTTATTAGGCCCTTGCTATTTTGGGTACAGCCTGGATTTTTCCTTTGTGGCAGAGAAATGCAACGTCACGGCTCACGATTCATGAGGGTTACTTTGAGCTCTGCCATTTGTCTTCACACACAAACGAGAATGTACAGTGTGGTGCAGAAGTTTGGGCACCCCAGGGGAACCATATGACATGCATTTATACTAGATAAGATAAGATAAAAGAACCTTTACGCATCCCACATACAGGATAGTGGTAAAACACCGGGAGCACATAAACTATACAGTGTAAGTAGCAGCTATGTTTCTTTGCTAGCTGTAGGTGCTTCAATATCAAAATCAACTTATATACTGTATTACTATATCTCTCTTTCATGTGACCCAACCAAGATGGCTGGTGTTCTGGCTGACAATTGTCGTACAGATAGTTTACTTTTTTACTTATTGAGTCAAGTAATAATTAAAGAAAAGTGTGTGATGCCACCAAAGAAGACAACACAGATGGAGAGTGACATCAAAAACATTAGTCTGTCTTTCTATAATAATTAGAGAAAGTCACATTCAGGTGTCCTTCTGAAGTTGCAGTATTGCACGTTGTACATGACTGCAGTATTTACTATTTATAAATGAGATGAGATGTACAGGCTCAGCAGTTCTCAATTGTACAATCTGACAGCAGCAAGAAGTAAATGACCTGTGAAACCTTTTATTTTATTTATTATTATGTATTTATTATATTTTATTTGTTTTATTTTTGTCTTTTAATGTTGCTTTATGTCTGTATTTGTCTGTGCACACTGGAGACTTTTGGCTAATGTATTCCAATGTGGTGTTTTTATTGCAAATGGCAAATAAAACTCAATCTGAATCTCTCCTTCACACGGCGAGGGTGGATCAGTCTGTCACTGAAGCTGCTCTTCCGAGCCGATATAATGTCCTGCATGCAAACATCATACAGGATCTATTATTTAAAATCAAAGATAATACAGTAGTAAGATCAAACTCTGGATCAAACTGGATCTATGATATCACTTGGCTCAAGGATCAGTCACTTGTGGAGAATACACTGTAAATGTAAGAGTCAAACGAGGATGATGTTCCTGTGTGTTTTTATTGCATTTCTCATTGAGGCTGCGCCTAAAATTAGAATGAATTTCAAATTTATGCACACGCCTCCCAGTAAAAACACATGGAAAACATAATTTTGCTACCAATCCTTAGCTGCAGATCAGCTCTACACACTCAGCACTTGTATCATTATGAGGAGGATACAGTTCTTTGATACAGTCTCAGGTCTGGCAACAGCAGCTCACAGAGACCATGAGGACTGTCTTTCAACTAAAAATACAATCTGCATTGAACCGCAAAAGAAAGATCTCTAACTAAAAATAAGCACAACATAAACTACATTCAAATTCAGAATGGCACATATCAACCTCCAATCTTGCTTAATGTTGCCACACCCTTACACACAGTACCAACAGAGAGTGTGCACTCCGCTGTATGTATATTGTGTAATGGCTGCAGTTAAAGCTTTATGTCGCTTTAAAGTTTTCTCATATGGAGCAGCAAAAGAAAAACTGTCATTAATGCTCGTTCGTGCATTTGACTTTAGTGGACTGTGGAGTTTGAGATTGTAAATACACAACATAAAGTACCCTGTGGTTGTGCTGGAGGAGGCTCTGGAGATTATTGTGTTTCCATTCGACGGTTTTTTGGCTTGACTTGCAAATAACTTGTTTCTGTGAATGGTCTGGTCTTGCTAATCTGAAGTAGACCCAAATTCCGGAGGTAAAGTGTCTTTTGGGAACCCGTTTTATATATATATTTTTCTCAATATAGCAACCCTATAGTCAGAGGCTTTTACACCGCTTCTCAAAGTGTACACACACATTCACATTAGCAACACACCATCACTGCTACACACACACACACATATACACACACAGACACAGACACACACACACCATCACTGCTCCACAAACACAGTTCCAGACACACACACCTTCACTGCTATACACACATACACACACAACATCATTGCTACACAACCACAGACACACACCCCGTTACTGCTCTTCACACACAGATCCAGACACACACACCATCACTGCTCCACAAACACACCATCACTGCTCCACAGACACACACATATACACACACAGACACAGACACACACAACCACTGCTCTCGTCCATCACCTTGACAGACAGCGGCTTTGTGCGTCAAATTAGCACCACTGTCTTCATTTTTCAGCCTTCAGTTCCACATCTTTCTATTCACAAGGGCTGTGAGTGTGTGTGTGAGTGTGTGTGTGTGTGTGTCCTCCTGTGTGTGTGTGTGTGTGTGTGTGTACTATGTGTTTGCTTTTGTTTGTGATAATCTTTGAATACTGTAAACATGCGCTAAGTCACATGTACCCAGACCACTTCACCATGCACCATCACACATAAGGGCTGGCACTTAAGCTCAAAAACCATGTTCAAATGTCATTGTTTTATTAATATTAAAATGTGAATATATTTGAATATTTAATTGACCAATAAATGCTAGTAATAACCCTGAGTGTAAAAACACGTGGATAAATATTAAATCTCCTGCTTCGCTCTTGAGGTCCAAGTCGTTTTCTCTCCAGTCTTCAAAGCAGATTTGCAACACACACACACACACACATTGTTGTCAATTATATTATCATTGTCCCATATTCCGGCAATATGTGCTTCAAACTGCTGTCGAGATCTAACAGGGGTTTGGCAGCGCCTCTGGAGACCTTGTGCTAAAATTAGTAAGAGATAAAGAATCGTCTGGCATGTGTGTACGAAGAGTCAAGAGTAGCGTATAATTAATGCTTCTGTGTCGGAATGTTTGTGAGCGATGAATTCAAGAAACAAATCTTAAACTCCACACCGTAGAAGTCATTCAGATAATTAGTGGCCGCTGTGATTTGCCTCTTGGGTGGATTTTCAGACCTGTTTCACCAAACTCTGCAGAAAAAAGGAAGCAAAACTGAAGGTGTGTGTGGAGGTAGTTTAGATCCAGGA